TTTAGTTCAAATTTCTACATAGTTTACAGTTATACAAATCATTCAGCATTATCTCTTTTAAGAAGAATCGTTTTTAATTTACAGCTTTGTGTACACTGATACAGATTCAGTTTCTTCTCCTTCACAATCAGAGTATCTACTGAAATCGTTTTTGGTAACTATGCAACTACAAAGCCTTCTCTCATTTTTTTTTTGCCAATTAGTTGGCAGCTATTATATCTGTTAGCTTTTAAACTTGTGTAATTTCTTTTACTGTTTGAGTGATAAAAAAGAAGTTTTAGGAAAGACAATTATAGGTTATTTCCTTCTTTTTTTTGCTGAATTATACATCGTTTAAAAATGTTTTTTTTTTTTTTTAATAATTATTAAAGCCAGTAAAATTTTGAGGTTTGACTTCGTAATCTGTTACCCGCAATTACCACCACCACCATAGAGTAACATCAGAACTGAAAATGACTAAACAAAATGTGGTTGCGCATCAAACAGCTATTTAAACAAATATCTGATATTATGGCAATTCTTTTGTTTGACTACAATTTTACAAAAAAAAAAAATTTATTAGCATTTAAAAAGAGATCAATTAATTTTTTTTTCCACTCCAACTAATTTTTTTTTAACTTTTAAACAAAAAAAAAATTGCTTTTCAATTTTGACTATTCAGTAATCTGCCAAAAAAAAAAAATTTGTGTAGCCAAATATAACTTAACACTGTTTGAACAAATTTTTTTTGTTTCTTATCTTTATTTTAATAATAAATACAAATTTATTTATCATATAAAATCAATTAAAGTTGAAAAAATTAACCAAAATTAATTTTTTTTTCATAAATTAGTTGTTGTTTTTTTTCTAATTAATATGTAAAGTTGACAAAAAAAAAACAGAAAACAATACTGTAGTTAAACAGTAAAAAAAAAATTGCATTGATATTTGAAAACAATTATTAATAAACAATAAAATTTTGATTTTGATTTTATTTTTTTGCTTAAAAATAAAGCTTTAATTAGTAAAATTTGTAGCTCAATAAAAGTGGTGTAATAGTTTAATGTCAAATTAAACATCGTAATTATTGGAGATGGTTAACAGTATTAACTTAGATAGAACAAAAAAAAAAACAAACTAAAAATCCTGTTTGATTTTTTGCTAACAATTTTGAGATGTTTAATTTGAATATTTCAAATTGATTAAATTTTAAAATTTAAAACAGTTATAATAGCTAAAAAAACTGATAACCTCTGTAATTTACAGCTGTTACTTGTTATCCGGAGAAAAAAGAAGAATAGAATTGGAAACAGGATAAGCAGGATAATTTGAGATGGTTGATAGAAGGAATTTGGATATGCTGTTTATATGATCATTTTAAAAACAGTAGTTGGCAGATGTCAACTGTACTATGCTAAAAGTTTTCAAATCAAAAAAATTCTTTAAAAAAATAACGACAAACCTGTTGGAACAGATGGATTTGTGGTTAAAAATGTTTCCACCTGCCATAATAGTCCAGACCAACCAGCAAAATAGACATTGTCTTGATTACTTTTAGCACCGCTATGTGCATAGTTTAGGTACTAAAAATAGCTCAGAAAAATTTTGCAATCACCAATTCATTGTCACTTTTTGTTTTGAAAAGAAAAATTTAAATCAGTTATTTGTATTTTATTAAAGTTTATTAAAAATTTTGACAAAAAATTTAGCGCTACATTTTTAACAGTTACAAATTTTTTTGCTTTTCTTTACTGTACACTTTACAGAATTTTTTGTTTCATTTATAGTTAACAACTATTCTAATTTTAATGTTTTTTTTTTTTAAGAATATTGTAGTGAAAAAAATAGTTTCTGATCTGTTGGTTTGCTCTTTCCTTGCATAATTTACTAAACAAATTTAAAGAACAGTTGTCAGTTTTTACAAAAACTTCAAAAAAATTTGAAATTAAAGAACAAATACAGAGACATTGTTAAATGAAAGATATTTGTTAACAATTTTAAATTGGCTAAAAAATTCACGTTGTCGACACTCTGAAAAGATAGAAAAAAAAGGTAAAAAATTTAAAAACTGTCTTGAAAATATTTGTAGTTTCCACCATATTTGCTTAAGTTGAGGGCTTCAAAATTGTAAATTTAAAGTAGAAATAACCAAAAGCACAGACAAATTCACATTACCTTTTCACAACCCAAAAAACGACTTAAATATTCTGGCCAAACAGGACCATTAGAATTTCGGTTAAAACCATGTGAATTTTCGCCAACTTCTATTCCGTCATCCGAAAAACTATCACCAAAAACTGTCAACGATGTGCACTGAACGGAATGTGGCTGAAAAAAAAGTAGAACAAAAAAATTTTTTTTATTTTGAAAAACCTTACAGTCTTAGAATCAGTGATATTTTACACTAATAGATAAAACAAATTTGTTCAAATTGTTTCTTTAAATTTAATATTTTTTTTTGTCTGCTAACTTTTTGTGAATGTAATAATAGAAAAAAAAAACTTTTTTAACATATATAAATTGTTAAAAACAGTTAAAATTGCAAAAAAAAAAAGAACAAAAACACTAAAGTATTTTAGCGTATAATAAAAATATTGAAAAATTTTGTAATAATTATTTCTGTTAAAATAGCAGTTCTAAAGTTTTCTAAAGTATTTTTTTTCTAGAAATTGTTTTTTTAAAGAATATTGTATAGCAGATTATTCAATGTTGGTTAGAAAATTTTTTAGAAAAATTATACTAACCTGATGTAAAAATTTAGCAACACTAAAACGAACAAAAATAACAGCCAACGTCAGTAATAACATCGTTTATGGTCGGGTTGTCACTAAAATTACGTTTTTTTATAATTAATTAGATTAATTAATAGTTACAATACAGTTTTTTCTTCATTTTGGTAAAATATTATTAAATATAATAAAGAATTATTGCTTAATATAAGGTAGTAAAAAAAACAAGAAGAAAGAAAGATGCTTAGTTGCCTGGTTGAATTGATGGAAACTGTTGTGCTGTTGTTGATCGTATTTATGACAGCTGAATAAACTATACGCTTAAAAAAGAGAATTAGCCGCAGTTCAAAGTGACCACTACTACCACCACCACCACTTCCACCACTATTATCACCAAACAGCAATCCAACAGAACTGTTCACTGAATCGTCTGTTCAGAATCGGTGCACAGTTTCAACTGCTTACTGCTGTTCAGAGAAGCAGTATTAACTTGGCTTGACGTTGACCGCACACTGTATAACCCCCCTGTCCACTAGTCGTTGGTTTGACCACTGAATAACGCCTACAATATTTGATGCCTATTGTACCCGTATGTGGACATCGTAGCAGTACTGACAATATTTGCCTATCACATATGACATCGATGATCATCTAAAAACAGTTACAACATT